TGGTCCCTTTTCGGGGGGGCTGGAAGGTCTGGGTGCCTTTGAGGGGGTGCTGGGAGGTCTGGGTGCCTTTGGGGGTGGGGTGGGAGGGTCTGGGTTCCTTTGGGGGGGTGCTGGAAGGTCTGGGTGCCTTTGGGGGAGGGTGCTCAGCGGTCTGGGTCCCTGAGCAGGGGGAGCTGGGAGGTTAGGGCCCTCCTCGGACTTGGGGGGGAGCTGGGAGGCCGGGGTCCTTTGTGGGGCTGAAGGTGGGAGGCTGGGGTGCACCGGGGTGCCGGTGGCCCGGCCCCACTGAGACTCCCCCGCAGTGTACTCGCTGGACGGGCTGCTGGTGTTCGGGCTGCTCCTGGTCTGCACCTGCGCCTACCTGCGAAAGGTGCCACGGCTCAAGGCCTGGCTGCTCTCCGAGAAGCGCGGTGTCTGGGGCGTCTTCTACAAGGGTGAGATGGGACCGCTGGTGTCCGGGATGGGGCCATGGGGATCCGGGATGGGGACACGGGGGTCTCGCCCCAGCCTGGGGCAGCCTCTGTGCCTACCCCAGCTCACCCACCCCCCTTCCACCCCGACCCCGCAGCTGCCGTCATCGGCACCCGCCTGCACGTGGCCGTGGCCGTCTCCTGCGTCCTCATGGCTTTCTACGTCCTGGTGGTGAAGTGACCCCATGGGGACCCGCCGGGAGTGGCGACGACGACAACCAGAGACCCCGGTACCGACCCCAGCCGCCCCATCGCCAGCCTGGACCCTGCCTGCGGTGACTCTGGGGAGCCGCCATGGCCCGGCACCGTGCTTAAACCCACCTTGTACCCCTTGGCGGGGCCGAGCAGCGACAGGTGCCACCAAGCCACCTTTAAGCTGTTGGAAGGGGAGTTCCCGGGCAGGCGAGGGGCTTGGAGTGCCAGCCCCTCGGTGAGAGAGAAGATCCAGCCGTGCTCTGTGAGCACCTTCTCCCAACACCGAACGCTGTGTCCTGGCAGGACTGTGGCCCCCCACGGCTCACGGGGGATGGTGCAGCCCCCCCACCGCAGAGACTGGGGGACTGAGGGGGGCAGGCAGGGCCCCTCCTCACCTCACCAGTGGGATTTCCCCACTCCCCTGGAGGGGAGCGCATGGGGTTCCTCCGTGGGGGTGTCCCCCCTGTAGCTGCGAGGTGTGTAACCTCCCTCCCCCGCCCCGGTTTGTAAACGCTGGACCATGACGTGCAAATAAAGTGGGGGTTCCCTTGTGGGCAGCCTTGGCTCCCTTCCTGGGGGGCAAGAGGCTTCTGTGGGGCTGGCTTCCATGGGGTGGGGGGTCCCGCAGAGGGAGGGGGCTTATGGGCCGGGTCCTGCTGCCCCACGGGGCCAGGAGGGATTCAGCCACTGAGGGAG